GTAGAGATGAGGTTTTGCCAAGTTGCCCAGGTGGGTCTCGAACCCGTGGGCTCAGGCAATCCACTCACTTCAGCCTCCCAAAGCACGGATTACAGGCTGAGCCACCGAGCCCGGCTGTTTCACAAACATTAACCATCATTGTTATTGCTACCATTGTCAAGCCAGCTAATATCTAATTTCTTTAACCAGATGAGAATAATTCTTTTTATTGTATGTATTTAATCTTTCTGGTTACATCTTTACATGTAAGCTTACGCTTTATGACAAAACCAAAAAGTAGATATTGGTCAGGTCCTCATACCATTAAACCACGAAAAGCCTTTTAATTAGTAACATCTTGCTGAGACCCATTCCTGGTTTATAAAGAAGTTCAAAGGATAAGCACTAGAGAGCACCTTAGAGAAAACCCTAACTGGCACCGGGAGTGCAGGGAGGGTGCGCTGTCAGATTCTGCCTCTATGTGTTTCTGACCCAAAATCAAACATCCTAAACTAGGGGCCACAGGAGAGGTCTTCACTCCACAAGTGGAGGCTAACAGCAATTTCCTTTTTCTCCCCCGGTCCCTCCCTGCTTTGTGTTTCTTCCAGCACTTGTCCCTACCTGTCATACCCGAGAGGCAGAGCAGTGAGGTGGTGAATAGCAGACCCTGGAGCCAGACTGCTTGGATCCAAGTCCTGACTCATCACTTAGGCCCGCATGACCTTGACAAGCTACTCAAGTCCTCCGTACCCCAGTTTCCTCATCCAGAAATGAGAACACTGATGGAGCTATTACTATAGTACTATTGTCATGAGCAAATACACATGAAATACTCACCTGAGATGTTGGCATAGGAAGGTACGGGAATGAGTTAACATGGAGAATCAGGAGTTAGAACAGAAGGAAATAATGTCATAAGTGGATAAAGTAGCCTGAACGGAAAACATTTCCAGAGTAGACAGTGTTCCATTGTAGGACAGTGATACACACATCAAAAAAACCAGAAGCAACATATTTTTCTGTTGTGAAAACAAAGCTAATGTCAAAAAAAAAAAAAATGTTTGCTATTTGAACTGTTGGCAAACATGTAACTGATTTTTCACTGAGAACCTTCCAGTTTCTGAATAACTCACATTTTTCTTCTTAAACATATTTTCATGGTCTTATGATTTTGCCTGTGAATTTTTACTTTGGGTCTAATTTAGTTTGTGGTAAGAAAAACAACAACAAAGTTTATAATAGTTCCCAGTCTGATTTTAAAATATTCCCTTAATGACAGCTTTCAATCTTTTCAATATAATCTTTTCCCATGAAAACATAAACATGAGACTGAGCTCTGAAATGAAAATACACTGAGAGAAAGAACAGGATGGCACATTTCTCTTTTATTGTAATAGAATCCTAGAAACTGTAATTTCACAGCCTAGCTAAGGAATTGCCATTTTGATGATGCAGTAAGAAAAATATGCAATATGAGATAGATATCAACATGATACAAATCCTGTTGTTTCTTACAGTTAAATGAGGATAAATAACACCTTACTATGTTTTCTTTAAAGAAGTGATGTGCTTTGCTCAAACTAGAAAAATTCAATTTGAGAAAGGGCATTTGTTTAAATATTGGTTTACATTTTTAATATGGAAGATAGTCCATTGGTTCATTCTTTTAACCAATTGCCTCATTGGTGAGTAAGAAATGGTTTCAAGAATGAAGCTTGAGATTGACGACCCCTTTTGGTTGCA